CAAAATTTGTGCAATTTTATTATTCATTGGCGATGTCAAACGAAATAGGCGGCACGGTGCGGTAAAAATTTAAACTAGTACAAGTAGGATAACAAAACAGTTTGTATTTAGTTATACACAAATAACATAGTTATTAACATGGACGTATAAAGATAGATGGACACAGCAATAAGATACCTTTAACACGCAATGTTTTGTAGCTTCGATAGATTGTGATGCTTCCGCAATGAGCATAAGCGTGCTTAAATTTTTACTCGCGGGTAATTATTCAGATTTTAAAAATTGGAAGTAGTAATAATGTATAAAAACACGTTCAAAGAATTAAAAAAACACGAGAGTTAAACTATTAACAAGTCACGTCTTTATAGAAAAATTAAAATACAATTTTATTTGCTTTAAAATTAATACAATAAAATATAGTTGAATTCAAGTTAATCTTTTAATAGGTATCAAAATAATGCTACAATAAAAAATCTTTATGTTTTCTCCTAAATTTGCTACCAAAATAGTTCGATCGTCAATATTATTTGGAAACCTACATAGAAAAATAAATGAGTTTCATTCATTTCACTAATTTATTGGTATCCATGAGAAATATTAAATTAAAAAGGTATTAAACAGATCTTTTTTAATCAGATGATGTCTACTTACAATTTAAAAATGTCTACTAATTTCATAAACTGATATCTTATTCAATACATTAATGAACGTGAATAAACCCAATGGTACGCCTAATAAAATGTAAACAAACACGCTTCCTCATTTCCTCATCTTAAATAATGTAAATTGTATGTACTTACAAATGAAATGAGAGATCGGGATGTAAATATTTCGTTTATTTTATTTCACTTTTCACGAATATCACTCAAAATACAGCCAAAATATCAAAAAACAACTTTTCCTGATCTACTGTAAAAAGTAAACAAACATGGAACAGCATTTGAAGTTTGATGTAGATCCGTAAGACAGAGAAATGTAAACAACCGTTGCCATTTATAAATAGTTTTCAGTGCTTCTACATATAAAATAATTAACTGATATTTATTATACGCTATTATTAAATGATAATGCACACTATGTGCACACTTGATATTTTGATTACAATTAAATATATTAATCTAACCAATAAATTATTATTTTGGTTTGATAGCACCTGTAGAGTATAAAATACGGAGTAATATTTTCAGCGACTCGCGAATAAGTAATTTTAAAACAAAACGTGACAACAGTTGAAGGTGTTGAGAATGTGACCTATTCAAATAATTTTGACTACACAATTGTAAAAAGTAAATGTGAACAGTATTGTTCTACAATGCAGTAATTATCGATCGGAAGCAATAACTATGCACTTTTTTCCTCATGACAAAAATCTACAAGATCGATGGGCACAGGAATTAAAAATTGGAAAATCGATATCAAATGATATCATCGTGTGTTCACAACATTTTTTATCAACAGATTTTTTTTCAAGTAAATTTGCAGAACAGAATTGCAACATTTATTATATATAACGTGTCTACCTACATAGATCTTAATTAAAATTTCTATTACAGCTGTAGCAGGGAAAAAAACTTTCAAAGAAAATTGTTGTTCCCTCTCAATACCTTCTTAAAGGAAAACACGAAAGAAAAATCAATAAGGAACTGGTGAATGCTAGACTAATACGTAATAAAACACACGCACATTCCTCCCTGGCGGGCTTTACCCAAACAGCACAGTACGTTTTAAGTACGTACAATTTTGGTACTGTACGTACATGATGTAAAATGTACGTTTTAAGTACGTACACTGAGGTACATACCAGTACATACAGAAGATTACGTACTATTACGTCTTAAGTATTTACCATGAGAAAGAAGAGTTAAAATATGTTTATTATGTTAGGTTATGTTAACCTAACCTAATTTATTTAGTTAGGAATTTTCCACCTCGAGTACAGTTTTGATGTGATAATTCATTGCTAGACAGTTTCATTTCGATTTTGTGTTTGGTGCTTATAGTGTGGTTTCCTGTTATTTTATTCAGTCGAGTGTTTTTTGTGTCAAAAATGTAGTGATAAAATGGTGGCGGAGCAAGAAATTGTACGATGGTTGAGGAGAGTCGGGGATCGCTTAAAAACTTTCTTTCTTATTTTTAAAAGAATAAAAATCTAATTTATTTAAAAAAAATAAAAATATATTCACCCATATTTACTTTTGCTTACATAAATCATCATAAGTGTGTATAGTATGTACATAATATGTATATATAATATGTACTAAGTACATACCTTCAATATGTACTAGGTACGTACCTTCAGTACGTATTAGGTACGTACCATAATTTGGAAAATGTACGTTTTATGTACGTATTAAGTACGTACTTAGTACAGAAAAGTACGTACATTGTACATACTTTATGTCTCATCAGTACGTACTTAGTTTGTCTTATGTACCTACTTGTGCTTACTGGGTAAAGTGCATTTTACCACCCACTCGTCTCTTAACACCTCCACAGTGATTTCATGTGGGGCACCATTTAAATTAGTCGTTTGCAGACGCAAACCGACTAATTTCTTATTATATTTGACACACAATACAACATGGCCAGCCTTTAACAAGGCCTCGCCTTCTTTTAAAGGTCTTTTTGTGTCTCCTATATATTTCAAAATATGAAGCAGACTAACTTCAATTTCTTTATTTGCCATTGCGTTAACAAAAAAATAAATGGAAGATAATAAATACGGATAATTTTTAGACACAACAATCATTCACCTACAAAGATTATGGTAGCTCTGTTTTGTTTTCCTACGTGCGTGATCAGCTGATCATCTGTCAAAGCACCCCCTACAGTTTGTTGACATCGCCAATACAAATACGGTGTGAATAAGGTGTATCAAATAGGACACTGGTCAGGGTGGATTAAGGCCTAGACAACCTAGGCACGTGCCTAGGGCCCATAATTTTTGGGTCCGAAAATTTCTAACCATACCTATTTGTATTTTTTTGGCAGCCGCTATAAAAGTCTACTAAACTACTATTATACCACTCTCAAAGGTTTTTTCCATAGGAAATCTTTCTTCTGTCCATGCTTCTTTTACCCTTAGTCTTTCTTTGTACAAGGCTGAATACTTCCAGATCAAAAAACATAAAAAAGTATTTAATATTTTTGAAAAATCTATCAAATGACACCAGTCACGACTCTTCATCTCTAACCCCAAGGGTGGGGCAGAAGGCAATGTTCAAATCTTAAATATAAAGTTCTTATTGTAGATTTAGATTCAGCCAAATAATTAGACTGATATACAGAGTGGCCCAAAAGTCTGGAAACGGCTAATTATCTCGTAAATTACTAGACATAATTATACAAAATTTAAAATACGCCTATTTTGGGATACGGAGATTCCATATTTGGTATTTGCAATGTTGCCAGATTTTCAGTTTCACTTATATTACTAGTAACTTTGGTTTTTCAAATGCATCACTCTGTATATTCAGTCATTATTGGAATCTCCTATTAAATACGAGTTCAACCATATGTATAACTTATGATTTTATGTAGTCTGTAAGGTCTTAAATACATAAAACAGAAGTCTGGCAACGCCTAAATTGTTTCAATACATTTTTTAATACTAACTATTTTCAAATACATTAAAACGTAACAATTGATAGTTTAGAATATTTTTTAACATAATAGTTACGTTATTAAGTGTTCAAAATGTGCTCCATTTGTGAGTTGACAGCACTCTAATCGATGGTAGAATGCATCTACCACATTTCTTCATGATTGTCTAGAAATTATTCGAGATTCATCGATAATTCATTGCCTTAGCTATGCAAGACTTGCTGGTTAAGTTTTGTAAACTGAATTTTTCAAGTATCTCTAATAAAAATAATCTTTAGGATTGAGATCGGGTGAACGTGGAGGCCATTCAATTTTACCTTGTCTAATAATTTATCGTCCGGGAAATATCTCATCTAAATAACGCCGAACATTTACACCAACTATCTAACGTTAAATTTCTTTCGATAAAAAATGGCCCAATTAAATAAGTACCTACTATAACTGACCATACATTTAATTTTTGTGGTCTTTGAGTATGGTTTTCACGCATTCAGTCTTCAGTGTGAATTTATGTCACACCAGTACCTTAACTTGTGTCGATTTACACTTCCACATAGTGTAAAAGTGTCTTTGAGTTTTAGGATAGCATTTGACACTTCTTCTCTTGTTGGGTCTTTACTGTGTAGTTGACGAATTTCACATTAATCTAATCAATGCACGTCGTTACCCCTTATTGTTCTGACAATTTTAACGATAATATTTAAAATGAACTGATATGTACTTAAGTATTTTTATTCTTTATTTATCTTATACTATTTTATTAAAAATGTCTCATACATTTAACATCAAAGCGAAGCTGGTCCACGATATCTTAATATCTAATCTAAATTCTAAACACACGTGCATACTTCAATTTTTGATTTTTTATCTATTTTTTGTCATTATTGACTGACTATTGATTAAGTCCTGTGTACTACTTAAATAATAATTTGTTTGTTTTGTCATATACACATTCGTTTATATACACTATGTATTTTAGCCTTAGTTTTTTGAGGGCGTGAAGATGCTGTTAAAGTTTGTAAACAGCGAATGTGATAGCCGATTCTTTTTTCAGCTTTAATACAACCTATTACGGTTTGTGAGTTTTCCTAACATTCATGAATATGTGATCATACCAGCAAGGTTCATGTAGGGATTTTCCCACCAAAGTCTTCATTTGGTCTGCTATCTTGCTGATATAAAAATATGAGGATGGACCAACCTGAACTTAGTATTCTTTGTTATTGTTTAGTCTTTCTATATTTTTGAATTAATTTAGCTGTTGTGTTTTTGGCCATTGCTAATGGACGCTCAATTTTTGAAGAGCAATCGCCATTGTTGGTTTTCAGGGAGCTCAAGTATACAAATTTGCCCAAACAGTGGGTAGGACAGTAGAAAATCAGTAAAACAACAAAATTGGCAGTGCACTACATTTATTTACAGAGATTTAGATTTTAATACACTGTTACGCCTTATAATACAAAAAATGTTAATAAAGTAGTCTTTCACCATCACCTTTAGGGTCTCACCACAATATCGATCTGCTCTCGATACGCTTTCGCTCAGATAAAATATTTTTAAATCAGAACCCCTGATAGTCATATTACCAAACATTTCGAAGAATTTTGCTGTAATAAACTTATCGAAGAGAGGTGTGACTTACATCGATAATATGTATGCTGATTTACTGGCTTCACTATGTATTCGATTATTACTGATGAATATGAGGGATTTTAATGAAAAATAGAATTGTTTGAGAGACATAATTAATAATGTTATATTAAAACTTGTATAGGAAAATAATAGATAACAAACTGTGTTTCGGACAGCGTTAATGAATACTATTAACAAAAAAAAGATTATGTACTTGAAGCTGCCCTGAAAGTCCTTGGTTTATATACAAGAAACGGAAAAGAACGGTATATTAAAAATATATTTGTTCTGTGAATGCGAAAGATAGAAGATTATACACCATGATTAGAAAGACAATAAAATAAATGAGAAACCAATAATTCAGTCATTTATAGGTAGAAAAGCTCTTCTAACTAACCTTAAAATCAGGTTGCTTAATCACATAAAGTAAAATAGAGGATGTCTTATTACCCAGGGCATCCAAATTAACTTTCAGCATTGATTATAAACCACTACCAGTGGTTTATAATACCACTACCAGTAATTTCTCTCTTCTCATAATATACTCGTTCGCATAATATACGGAGTATATTATGCGAAGAGCACTTGAAGGATGGGAAAAGGGCATCTCAATAAATGGTCATAAACTAAACATCCTACGTTTTGCAGATGACACAGCCCTTCTTGCAAATAGTCAAGCAGAGCTGATAGAACTTATACGACTGATCGAAAACGATAGTCAAATATTTGGTCTGCAATTAAACATATCAAAGACAAAGATCCTGATAGTGGATAGACTACACAACAATCATCCACACATAACCACAATTGACCGGTTCGAGGTTGTGAGCTCATACTTATATCTGGGATCATTAATCACAAACACAGGGTCATTACAAGAAGAGATTAAACGTAGACGAGATCTAGCAAAAGTTGCCACAGCAAAAATGACCAAAATATGGAAGGACTGTCAAATTTCAAGTGCTATAAAGATGAGATTGATCAACTGCTTAATATTCCCAATACTGACCTACGGATGTGAATCTTGGACTCTGAGACAATCGGAGAGAAGAAAGATAGACGCCACTGAAATGTTCTATTGGAGACGAATGTTACGAATTCCTTGGACCGACCGTAAAACAAATAATTCAATTTTAAGAGAGCTAAAAGTTAGCCAACGACTCTCTAGTAAAGTCCATATCCAACAATTAAAATATTTTGGGCATGTTATGAGAGCAAACACAGAAAACATGGAAAAACTCATAATACAAGGAAAGGTAGAAGGCCGAAGATCACGAGGAAGATCCCCAACAAGATGGATAGATCAAATTACAGGAATATGCCAAAGACCTATGCATGAATTAAAAGAAATGACCAGAGACAGAGATCTCTGGAGACGGACAATACACGACATCACGTCGACCACTACACTCCCCCTGGAGGGTCAGGATTGAAAAGAGAGAGACCAGTGGTTTATAATCAATGCTTTCAGTACAAAGCCTCCTCATTCGTTATATGCTGCTATGGGGAGAGGTGGTTGGTTACAGCTTAGGGATCAGATAGGCAAAACATATGTCACTCGGAGCTGGGCTTCTACAAAAAGTGTTGTGTGTGTGAGAAAGCAAAATTACAAGCATATTTTGGAGCAGTTAGATCAAGAATAAACCACATTTTTTTTCTCACTCAAATAATGCAGAGAGAAAATGCACGATACTAACTAACTAACGAAACATATAGCGCTTGTAAGTCGAGGTCAGAAAAGCATATATCAGTGTAGCCCTGGTAAAATTTTGGCAGGAAAATCACGGAAAGAATATGTGCAAGAATTATTTGAAGATGCAACACGAAGTCCGACTGAAATAAACAATCCCTATGGTCCAGAAATAACAAACGAAGAAGTAAATATGGCCATTGAGCAGATTCAAGATTAGAAATCACCAGGACCTGGTGCATGGTGATATTTTAAAGCTATTAGAGGCACATCAAATCATAGCTCTTACAAAGCTATTCAACAACATCTACGAAACTATTTATATACTGAAAGACTATCAATATTCACTTCTACTTCCTAAAAAAGCCAACGCTAGAATATGTGAAGAACATAGATTAATTAGTTTGATGAGCCATGTACTTAAAGTAATCCTTACTATCATCCACTCGCGCGTATACACCAAATAAGAACATCTGAGTGAAGTTCAATTTGGATTCAGAGAAGGACTAGGAATGAGGAAAGTACTTTTTAGTTTGCGAGTTCTAATACAGAGAGCCAAGGATGTCAACTGCGATGTGTATGCATATTTCATTGATTTAGAGAAGGCATTTGATAAAGTACCACATGGAAAACTAATCGATATCCTAAAAACATCAGGACTCGATCGTAAGGGTATAAGACTGATCTCAAAGTTATATCTCCAACAAACAGCAACAGTGAGATTAGAAAATAAACTGTCTGAGATCTTCACAGTCGAAAAAGGAGTTAGACAGAGTTGTATATTGTCACCGGTAATATTAACATATGCTCTGAAAGCATCTTTAGAGAGGCCTTAAACGAATCAGAAGATGTAAATGGCCAATTTATAAACAATATTAGATATTCAGACGATAAAGTGTTGGGATACACGATGACCAATGGATGATGGATAACGTTGTAGAAACATGTAATAAATACGTCCTAAAACTAAGTTGCAAAAAGACAAAAATAATAATCATTAGTAAGAACACCAACATAAGCGCCCAAATTACAATAGGCGATACACCGTTAGAAATAGTGGAAAAAATATGCTATTTGGGCTGCAATATTAAGGATGCTTGGGATACTAGCTACGAAATAAAATCTCGTATTGAAAAAGCCAGAAGCTCTTTCAACAGCCTTAGGAAGATTTTCTTTAACTTATCTTTAAGTATCACTCATTAGTATCACGCAAGTATAGGCATTAGAATGCTTAGATGTTACGTCTTTAGCGTTCTTCTCTACGAAGTAGGAAGCTAGAGCCTTACAGAAGATGACATAAAACGATTAGAGACATTTGAAATATGGTGCTGTACCGACGTATGTTGAGAGTCTCATATAATACACCACACAATATAACTATTAATATAACTATTCTCCAGAGGCTAAGAAAAGACAAAGAAATTATTAACATTGTAAAGGACAGCAAATTGGCTTACTTCGGCCACATCATGAGTAATAATAAATAAATAAATGGAGTAATAATAAATACCAACTTTTACAGTTGATTCTACAAGGCAAGATTGAGGGTAAGAGAGGCCTTGGACGTAGGCGTATATCCTGGCTGGCTAATCTTAGAAAGTGGACTGGTCTAACATCAACTGATTTATTTCGATCTGCTGTGAATAGAATAAGATCGATCAATGTGGTCGTCAACATCTCTAGAAGATAGACACATTTAGAAGAAGAGAAGAACTATAACAGACAAACATTAACATAAATTTTAAAATGAACATGTAGAAAAGAGGGATAATTGGAAAGTAACAACAATTGCTATTAGAAAAAATTAACAAGAAATAACAGCTTGTATGGAATATAACTATGTGACAGTACAAATCTCAGAGAATAGGATACTGGATACGTCGTTTAAGTAAAGATATCAAATGCACATATGTAAAGAAAGTCTCCTAAATGACTTTTTACGGAATCTTCTTCTTTTTATTCACATATTCTTTATATATTTTAGCTTCGAATTCATTTTTCCAAAGCATATGATCCTTCGCCAAATATTTTATTTCTGTTTTACCTTTTGTGTATTTATGTTTTACTTTTTTGTGGCCAGTTATTCCCTTTTATTTTCCCCGCTTTTCTTTAACATGTCTATTCTTTTGTGCATTATTTTAGATTTTACCACTTTCTTTAGTCACTTATCCATTATTATGACATGTCCAAATCATTCAAATTGTTTTATTGTTGGACTAAATCATAAAATGTATCATATTTATTAAATTATTAAATTATTATTAAAACTCAAATTTGCTTTTAATTTTTTAAACATCATCTTTTATTTTAACCAAAATGTAAATTAAAAAAAATAAATAAGCTATGAAACAAAACGAGATTTCTCCCCGATCTATTGAGGAAAAAACATTGAAACGACATCTGAGCGTCGATGTAAACAGAAAGCAGAGCGATAGTGCAGTTACGCTGTTATTACGTTATTGGTAAAAGACTATTTTTTAATTAGATTGTAAGGTAATAGATTGCTTCCTTGTACAACTTGATTATTTCCCACGGGGAATACTCTAGGCTGCTCTATTTGTGGTTGGAAAGCAAGCTGGCTGTTTTGAACAGGAAGTATTTCAGGTTGGCCGAGCTGTTGAAGTCCGAATTGATTATTTTGACCAGAAATTATGTCAGGCTGTGAAAACTGTTGCAAATTTAGTGGAGCATTCTTAACTGGGTATATTTCTGGTTGAGGATACTGTTGCAAATTTAGCTGATTATTTTGAAGAGGGACTATGTCTGATTGGGAAAACTGTTGCAAATTTAGCGGAGCATTCTTAACGGGGTATATTTCTGGTTGAGGATACTGTTGCAAATTTAGCTGATTATTCTGAAGAGGGATTATGTCTGATTGAGAAAACTGTTGTAAATTTAGCGGGGCATTGTTTAGAGGTACTACTTCGGACTGAACAAACTGTTGTGAATTTTGCGGAGTCTCTTTAAGAGGCTGAGTAAACTGTTGTAAATTTAAATTATTTTGAAAGGGTATTATATCTGGTTGGCCTAATGCAAACTGATTATTTTGAGAACCTAATTGTTTCAATGCTTGTTGAAGTATTAACGGTTGATTATTTAGTTGCTGAATACGAGATATTTCTGAACAAGGGCTCTGAGGTACGTGAGGAGTACATCCAGAAGTATATACAAATGGAATGGTCGGATTACAAGGACTTGGCTGGGGACGTAGCCTGTAAATCAACGTATAACCTGGAGTGGAACACGAGGGTCTTGGAACAGTAGGTACTGGTAGAGGTATAGGCGCAATTGGAACTTGCGGTTGCGGTTGCATTCGTGTGCATGGTTGTTGTATAAATTGATAGTATTTATAAATATTTCTGTATTGAGGCCAATTAGGTATATATATAGGCCTTTGTGGATTTGCAGAGCAGGGTTGTTGTGGTATAATTATAACTCTTGGAGTCGATGGTTGCGGTATTGGTTGTGGCGTTGGTTGTGGATATATAATTATATTTGGTCTTTGTGTGGTGGGTGCCGGTCTTGGTTGGGGCGTTGATTGTGGATATATAATTACAGTTGGGTTTTCTGTAGTCGATGCTGGGCTCGGTTTTGGTTCTGAATCTGATTAAAAAATATATATTATTATTAATTAAATTTCAAATAATATAAACATTCAAAATCATGCAAAATATCAAATATTTAAGAACTATTAACCGGGAGTTGCTATTTTTGGCTGTAATACTCTACAATACTAATCTTAGTAATTAATTAACTTCAATATGAGAATATCAAATTTGCCGTGATCCAAGAAGTTGTAATTTCGAAGTATAAATTAAAAAAAAATTACAATATATCAAAATACTTTAAAAACATTGTTTTCAAATGGTTAACACTATGCCTACAAAGAAAGAAATATGTTTACAATACCTTGTACAAAATTTAGCTAGTATCACAGAAACTAGATTATTAAAAAATGTTATCGCCTATTTAACTGATAGAATGGCACTATTGAAATTAAACGCTATACCGTGCAACAAAAACATCATTGTAGTGTATGCACCAACATCTGATAGCACAGAGGAAGAAGTACAACAGCGTCTACAATGACTTAGACAAAACATTCAATGAAACCAAAAAAGAATTTTAAATTGAGTTAATTAAATGAAATTAAATGAAGTCAATTAAAATTTGATTTTAATTGACTTCAACTCGGAGGTAGGGAAAGGAAGAGATGGAGAAGTAGTAGGAGAGCACGGACTAGGAACACGTAATGAAAGAGGTGAAAGATTAGTTTAGTTTTGCAAAGATAACGAACTTATTAGCAATAACACGTAATATAAACTTCAAAATCGAAGAATATATACATGGAAAGCACCTAGAAGTGATGGTGAAATTGCAATAAGAAACCAAATAGATTACATAATAATAAATCCAAGATTTCGAAATGCCATAATATCGGCTAAAGCGTACCCAGCAGCAGATATAGCACGTGACCACAATCTACTTCTAGCAAACATGAAACTTAAGTTAAAAACGTTAAAAACAACTGCCAAAGAACAAGTGCACAAAGAAGTTCAAGAAGTAGAAAGACAAAAGCAATTGACAGCAACAGATAAATGGAGGAAAGAAGAGGAGATCTTGAGAAATATCACAAAACAAAAACTTTGAGAAGACACATCATGTAAAAATAAACAATGGATCACACAAGAGATAAAAGAACTGATGAGGGAAAGAAGGGCACACAAGAATACAAAGAAACAACAGTACAAAAAAAATTAATAAAATAATCAAACAGAAAATCGAAGAAGATAAGGAACTATGGCTATCAGAAAAGTATGAAAAAATAGAAAGGTTAGATAAACAACATGACAGTTTTAACATACATCGGAAAATCAAAGAGACAGCTGGCATATACAAGAACAAGAATATCGGAAATATCATGGATAAAAATAACAAGATAATAACGGAATGTACAGATAGAACAAACAGATGGGAAGAATACATAAAAGAGCTATTTGAAGACGAGGAGAAAATTTAGGTCATTGAACTAAAAGGAAAGAAATGGGCCACCAATCACCAAAGACGAAATTGAGAAAGCGCTAACACATATAAAAAATGAGAAGGTCATGGGACCAAAGAAATACCTACAGAAATCCTAAAAATACTAAAAAAAATCATATGGGCACACTAATGTTCAAAAGAATGGTTAATATCAATGTTCATTCCAATACCCAAACAATCAAACGCAATGAAGTGTGAAGAGTACAGGAGAATTAGCTTGATGAACCATATTCTAAACTAGTGATACACAGATGTATCTATAAAAAGCTAGATGATAGAATAGCTGAAAACCAATTGGGATTCAGAAAAGGCTTTGGCACCAGAGAAGCATTATTTAGTGTACAAACACTAATCGAACGATGTCGAGAGGTCAATTGCGAAGTATTCATATGTCTAGTCGACTTTGAAAAAGCTTTCGACAAAGTACAATACCGAAGAATGGCAAAAATACTCAGAACACAGAATTAGATGACGAAGACATGAGAATCATTGCCAATCTATACCGATATCAGAAAGCGATAATCCGAATAGACTAACAAAAATCGAAAGAAATGCCTATAAACCGTGGAGTGAAAAGGATGTGTACTTTTCCCTTTACTTTTTAATATAAATTCAAAAGAATTGTTTGAAGAGACATTAGAAGACGTAAATAAAGGCATATTTATTAACGGAGCACTTCTGAATAATCTTAGATGCGAAGATGACACAATACTCCTTGCGGACAGCAGAGAAGGACTATAGATCTTTGTTGACCGCATTACCCAATACAAATAAAACAAAAATAATGGTGGTAAGCAAGAACAAGATTGAGGAAGAGAATGTTTATGCTAAAGGAAAACTTTTAGACAGGGTGAACAGATATCAGTACTAAGTTGAGAACTAAATGAAGATTGGGATAGAAATACGGAAATAAAAGGGCGTATTGAGGTAGCTACATCGAGCAAAAAGACAAAAGAGGGAATGTAAAGGTAGTGGGGGCAAAAATATTGTTAGACAGAAAGTGCGATCTTTAGAGGCCACATTAAACAAGGAAAGAGAGTCTCTCTCCTTGTTTGACATCAAATTTAGTTGGGTTATGTTATTGTTTGTCCCAAATGTCACATGAAATCTTATTTATATTGAAGTTTTGTTAACAATTGTGTCGCATTTTAGACTATTACCATTCATAATTAATTAAAACTTTATAGTCTAAGACACATTCTGAAAAATATTATATAGCTACTGTTAATAAGTGTCGGAAAATTTAAATTTGGCGCATTCGCATTTCCGGATATGTCCGCCATCAGAGGCCACTTTTTTGGTCTTCTTTTCATAAGCATTAGATTCCCTCTTTTGTCTTATTGCTTGATGGGTAGCTAGAAGTGCTTTTAATAAGATGAAAGCAATATTATGCACTGGAAAACTCAACATTGAAATTAGAACTAAAGTATTGAGATGCTACGTGTTCTCTGCCCTGTTGTATGGAGTTGAGGCCTGGACAATTATGGATACGACAGAGAAAAGACTCATTAACTTTGAAATGTGACGTTATCGAAGAATGTGGAAAATCTCTTGGACAACACATAACAAATGCGGCAACGCTACAAAGAATAAAAAAAGATAAAGAAATGCTGAACACAATAAAGATAAGAAAAATGTGCTATTTGGGTCACATACTGTGAAACAAGAAATACAAATTGATACGGATGGTCATACAATGGAAGGTGGAAGGCAAAAGAGGACCGGGTAGAAGACGCACGTCCTGATTGAAGAATCTGAGACAATGGAGTGAGAAAACGTCAATAGAAGTTTTCAGAACAGCTGCAGATAGAGTCAAATAGGCCATGATGATCGCCAATATTCTCAGGGATAGGACACTTTAAGAAGAAGAATCGCTTATTTGTTAGGTCACTGAAAACAAGGTCATTTTTTTTTTATTTTTTAATCCTTTTTTAATTTTTAGTAATAGATGTAATAACCATTTATGGAAGAAAATAAAAAAGTTGAGATTTGTTACAAAAATTGTTTGTATGAGTTTTGCTAAACAGCAAAGCATATTCATGAAATGCTACTATTTCTAACAATCCTCTTTTTTCCAAATTTTATTTAGACTATAACCTATATTATCTTTAAGTTTAAAGTGTTGTTTTTTAGCTTTTCTACATGTTTTTATATTTAGTTAACTGTTCTGTTTGTAACGTAAAACAGAGCACACAGCTACTCTGTGTACTCTATCCAGTGGCATTTTTCTAAAGGTGTTTCCATTTTTCTTTCTAACTTTATCTTGTACTTCTATAATATCTCTTTTTATTAGTTTAGGCAAGACTCGTTACTCTCTGGCACTTGGTCGTAACCATTACAACATATACCTTGTTTTTTTTTTTCATTAAACACCAATAAATCCTGAAAACTGTTGGCTTCAACGAATGCCAACAGTTTTCTTCCATTAGTAGTTTTAAGATATCTTCGGTTGAAACGTTTTTTATTAAAGTTTTATTCATCTTTGGCTCACATATACATAAACTCCCTCCTCTGGAAGGCAGAATATCACTAAGGAGGTATATAACTCTTAATCGATCGTAGAAAGCTTTTCTTGTTTGTGTGTTTGGAGAGTTGTCTTGGATGCTAGTCCTTTAGGTTTTTAAATAATATCATCATCATGGCATCTATACTCCTAGCGGAGTAATTGTTGCCCTCTTAGGGCTCTTCCGATTTATTTGTTGCGAGGAATAAATCCGCATTAACATTTTGGTTTAAAATTGGTTTTACAATTACGATTGTGTGCCTTGGCTTCTTCTACAATATTACTCCATTCTTTCCTGTTTTTGATTATAGTTTTTCAATCTTTAACCCCCATCTTACTAAGGTCTGCAATTATTTGGTTCTCCCATCTCGTCTTCGGTCTTCCTCGTGGTCTGACTGATACTGGTCTCCATTTAGTAATTTTCTTGATAACTGCTTTTGAATTTCTTCTTTATAGATGTTCCATCCATATAAGTTTCTGTATCTTAAAAATCTGACGATGTCTTTTCCTTTCAGTAAATTTCTTACTGCATGGTTCAATAGTTATCTAAATTCATTATTACCTAAGTTTAGTTTACCTGCTATTCTCCGAATGACTTTACTCTCAAAGATCCTCATTCTTTCTTTATCTTTCTGTGTCAGGCACATTACGTCAGCACCATACGTGATTACTGGTAAACGTCTGCTCTGTAGAAGGAACAAAAGTTAAGGATGCTGTCGAACAGGCAGCTAAACTGAAATGGAAATGAGCTGGACATAACAAACTTCTTAAGGATGGCCGATGGAATAAAGAAATCGGGAATTGGCGCCATGTGAACCCAAAAGACCACGAAGAAGACCGCAAACGCGCTGAAGCGATGACAAAAACTGTAGGACCAATGTGGAAACGTCTCACAAACAACTGAGATGAATGGCGAGAATTAGGAGAGGCCTATATTCGGCAATTCGAATAGAGAGAAGGACTTAAAAAAACCAAATGGAATTAGACCCTAAAATACAGAAGGAAATATGGGAACAACATCTTAAAGATTTGTTTGGTGATCGGAGAGCAAAAGGGC